GTCCTCAACTTTTATGTCCCAAGTCTTTTGTTGACAATAGAGCACAATTATGCTATCTTTATTTGGTAGAATATGGAAGGCATCATCTGGATGTAATTCCTGTCATAAAAAGATGTGAAATTTTTGTAAGAATATTGATACACTGATATGTTAAATATTTTGTGTAATATGAAAATTACCAAGTATTCTATATCGGATGGCCGTATTGTCACATAGAATTGAAACTTTTTGTTAGTAGTCCTTCTGTTGGGCAGAATGTTCCTGCAGTTTTCTTGGATAACAATTTAGGTTGATAATTTGTGTTTAATTAGAGAGTAATAATTTTGTACCATACCGTATTCGTTTTGGCCATAGTCTTGGGCTGGTAAAATGTTCCATTCATAGAAAGTTGAGCAACGATTTGGAGCAAATATCTGCACTCGAAAGGCCATTACACCTATGTGAAAAAATTGGATCATGAAGTTTTCTTGTATTTGGTGATCACATAGAAATTCTCTCCAGCCAGAATTTGCGAGACTTTCGTGTAATTTAATAAACCAAATTTTGTTTCCATTTTTTAGTATTGCTGTTCTTCGCATATGGTGTCCTATATGCGGCAAAAATTTGGCTGGTATGACCTGAAAATTAGTAGCAAAAGTAAGAAAAAATTAAAGTGGATTTTGATTTGCAATATATTTTGTTGAAAATATTGATCTTACCATTTGCTCTTACCAATATTTTGCTCTTACCAATATATTTTGATCTTACCAATATATTTTGGGACTCCATCAGCGTCTTGAGTTACATATGTAAATGTTGTTTTTATTGTTCCATTAGAGTAGATTTGTTGAGCGGTTTTGGAGTCTACAAAGAAAATTGGCTCCATTTTTGTTGCTGCTGAGTTGTTTGGTTTTGTGGAGTTTTTTGCTTAATTTTTTGTGACTAACTGGGCTTTTGTTTTTGGAACTGTACTTGAGCGGTATTTACTCCCAAGGTGAAAGCCGAATCAACATTTTATGCTATACGGCATACCTTACTCTTTGGGTGATGTGGCATTTGATTATTCCCCGATTCTTTAGTACAAATAACAACAAATTTGCAGTGCTGTAAGTACCTGAAGTTGCTGAAAACCAAATGCCCTCAAAGTTGCTAGAAATTACGTTATAACCGCTTGACAAAAAATGGACTGTTCATTGTCCAACTCCCGCTTTTATATAGTTAGATATATATATATATGTATATTCTAATTTATCATTCATACATTTGCTCTTTTAATAGTTGAACGTTATTTATGGGTTACTAGATTTTGACTCTTAATATTTGATACCCTTCATCAGAAAATAAAATTTTTTGGATATTATTCGCAACGGATCTTCTGTCCCACATTCTGTGCCACCCTTCGTCTCACTTTTTATTATATTGCTATTTCTCCTACATAAACATCATGTTTTAGTTCTTTTTTTATTTTCTTAAGATCTAATAACTATTAATTCAGTAAAAAATAAAAACAACAGTTTCAAAAAAGTAATATATAATAGAAAATTAAAAAATACAGTAGAAAATTTATAAAAAATCTCATTTTTTATGCATTTTGATTTTTTGAGTTTGATAAATTTTATGTATTACTGAATTAATAGTTATTGGATCTTAAGGAAACAAAAAAGAACTAAAATATGATGTTTATGTAGGAGAAATAGTAATATAATAAAAAGTGGGACGGAGAGTGGCACAGAGTATGAGACAGAAGATCCGTTGCGGATATTATTACTCTAAACAAATAATTCTTTTGGGAAGAACACATTTTATTTCGATCATTCTATCTTTGGAAAGGCAACAAAGGAACATATATTCCAATCAAATCTCTCAGAAATTCAATCTCTTTCTAGCAATTCAAATAGTAATCAACCATAGTTTCTCCTCACACTTTACCCTCCAATACCGAAGCGTTTAAGTTAGAGTCTATTTGTAATTATATTTTTTTTCTCAAAATTTCATTTGTAATTATATATTAAACATAAAACGGCATTACATATTACTTATCTTCTTTCAAATGAATGTATGCACCACTTATAACTAACATTAATCATTGCTGTATTGACAGGTGCCGAACCTGTGCAATAATAAATACCTACTCGAGAAAAATATAGATTTTGTATATAGCGGTGAGTATGGTCGAATCCACAGGGACTGGGGATAATTCGTTTCTTCTAGAGTTCAAAGTATGGGGGGATTTTTGGATTAAGTGCTAACTAAATAAATTAAATGCAGAAAATAAATAAAAGAAATAATTATTAGAGAAACTCTAGCCAATGGTACACGTCAGAAATGGTTCATGCACTGATCATCGATGCAGAAATAATTCCAACATTTAGTAATAGATCAGTTATAGTTGTCATACACGCGATAAACAACCAACCCTTCCTTAATTTATCGATAGTCAAGGTACGACCGTTAACTATTTCCCTAACCCAAAAACAATCCTAGGTACGACCGTAGGATTTAATTTCTAGATTGCATTAATAATTAGAAAGGCCCAATCCTAACTAACAAACACGCTACGAGGGTTTGTTTAAATTAGATCGTATGTTCCCCTGACATAAACACAATTACGCCAGTTGCTACTGAGATAAAGATAACGAACAATTACGGATTCAATTATCCCTATTTAGCAAAATAGCCTATGTGAATAATTAAATATTGCGCATCTATTCAATCATTCACACGAGCTATAACGGTTAAAAGCAGGAAACATATGAATACCAATAAATGGAGGAAGCAATTAAAATAAATTAGATCTCACAGAAATTATTGAACCAAATCTTCAGTTGTCCCCTTGACTAGCAGTAAGGCTTAGCCACGCCGCATAATTAAATCACCACACGAAGTAATGGATTGCAAAGGCATGGCGGTTTTTAGTAGAAAGCAAGGAATAAAAGATGTTTTTCCCGTTGGGGAATATTGTCGAACACCTGGCGTGTGTCAGAGGCCAGTCAAAAGAAAGAAAAAAAGGAAACTAAAACTAAACTAAAAACTAAACTAAAACTAGGGATCTCCTTTCGCTTCTGTACGTCTTCCCTTAAAAAGCCAAAAGAAAGAAGCCTAAAAGCTATTTCCTGTGGTCCCCACACATATGGACAAAGCCTCCAAATTACTTCTTGGTCCAAGTCTCTCTACGTTGCTTTCTTTGAAAGGCCCAAATGACTAAATGCCTTTCACCAGCTTGTGGTCCCCACCAATTCAAGAGTCCAAGGTCCTTAGAAGTCTCCATTTTCCCATAAAAGTCCCTCCTTTTTGGTAATTTTCTGCTTTGTTCCTGAAATTAAGTCCCAATACCAAATATAAGTAAATATTAATAACTAAAACAATATTTGGCAAGAATAAAAGGGGAAATTAACAATAAAATTACTAACAATTAACACCCTATCATGTATTTAATGAATCTGCATTATATTCTGAATTTAATTCAGTAGATACGTATTTTTACTTCAACACACGTAAATATAATGTATATAACTATATATGGTATGCAATCCCAATTTGAAACAACTACTGTTCACTTAGCCTTATCAATAAAGAAGAGTAAAACTAAACTATTACACTTTAGCTCCCAAAAAAAAAAAAGAACTATTACACTTTCAAAGAATAATAGACTGAGGCAGGCAAAAGAATTTAATCACATACACACAAAAAATGGATACATGCCCAGTGGAGAAAAAAATTTGCACTCAAACAAAAAATAAAACGATGGGAAACAAGACAAAAGGAAAAACGCTTGACTTTTATCTATCTATTGTGTTTCGGAATTTGTTCTCTAGAAAAATCTTATATACACTGACGGTGTATACACTATCACGGTTGGATATACGACACATATGTAAAATTTGAATCTCAAATTCAAATTTGGATTATGTATCATGCATCTAATGGTGAAAATGTATACACTGTCAGTAAATAGAATTATATACATATATATATATATATATATATATATATATTTGTGTGTGTGTGTAGATGGATAACATGAAACAAATGAGCTCAAGTGGGTGTGAAGTTTAATTTTTCATCTATATTTTTTGGATTATAATTAGAATCATTAGAAAAAAAGGGTTGAGGGGAACAAAAGAAAGTACCCCAAACTTTGAGGGGCATAGTAAAAACAACGATAAAAATTGTTGTCATGTAGTTACAACGGGTGCATTGCATCCGTTACAAAAGCAAATATGGAATCTTAAAGAAAATCTAAAATTCATGCGTCATCTTCCACAAATTTAATCATTGCCAATACCAAAATGGAAACAAGCAAAGATTTGGATTCTAATTAATGTCAGAATCCAACGAACAGCTATGAAGATTGAAGACTGAAGACTCCACCAGAACTCATTAAGTTGTTCTTTAAACAAAACCAAGAAATCATATCTCCAACTCGGGTTTAGCAGCAGGTATGTACGCATAAACGCATTGAGATGCAAATGGTGGAAGACCAGCTCAAAACTAGTTGTGTTTGCATTGATGATTTTTAACTTGTCTTTGGCTTTTAAGATGATAGTAATTTATGGACTGTAGCTAGTGATCTTCTCCTTTTTCTTTTTTCCAGTTCAGAGAAGATTGGTTTTAGAAGTTATATCCGGAATTTAGAAGTTCCTTATGTTTTTTTCAACTAGATTGGTTTTAGAATCTGAAGTGAAAATGGCAGTCCTGAATTTGGTTGAATTCCTGGTTAAAAAATTCTGTTCGTCTCCACAAAAACTGGAGAACTGAAATGGGATATCTAATGTGGTTTGATTTGTGGTGAATCTTGGATTACACTGCATATCTGATGCATTGGCATATTTAACACATAAATCTACCTATGCAGTTATAGAGATCATCATTTCCTCTTCATTCTGCAACAGTTATTCAATTTGCGTGATATCCATGTTTGCTGTTTCAGCTTTTTCCAAAGGGAAGAAGAATCTGATTAAAGAATCTCTCAATCAGCCAGCTAGTCCAGTTTACTGTTGATAATCAGGAAGCAACAGGAGATGGGACAACATTCAGGTCAACCACAAGAGAAATCAAAGTCGGTTCATGATTCAGCAACGGGAACAACGATCAACAAATTGGTTCAGCCAACAGCATCTGATCAAAATGCTTCCCAACAGATGTCACATCCCTTGGGAAAAACCAGCAGTCAGATGGTCGAAGCTCAGAATCATTTCCAACAAGTATTATACCCTACCAGAAATTCGACTTCTGTTGGACAGGAGCAAGCAAATGCAGGATGTACAAGCATTTTTGACTTAGTTGAGCAAGAAGATGATCGACTACACAAGAAGCAGCGATACCTCCCAATGTCCTTTCAGCCATCTCATACCTCAGTTTTGAAGGAGCAAGAAGTTCTAACCGGCAAAGCGCCTGTTAAAAAAGATTCAGGAACGTTAGTCTCTAAACCAGGGATGTGTGCTCTACGATTGGCAAACTACACAAGGCAGATGCAGCTAAGGCCCCAGGTATATATAATTGAAGCCAAAATGAATTATTTCCATTTATTATTCTACAAAGCTTAAGAGTTTGATCAAACATAATTAAACAGGACAACAACATTGAGTTTTGGAGAAGCTTTGTAGCTGAGTTCTTTCTCCCTGATGTCAAGAAGAGATTGTGTGTTTCTTCATATGGCAGAAAACCTGATGGCGTTGTTGATAAGGTCTGTTTGCCATACCTTTTCTTGTGGGTGAGGTATCAGAGATTCTGGGTAGTGGAAGATGCTCTTATATAGAAATGAGATTTAAGCTTGACGATTTCCCTATGCAATCAATATTTAATATTCTGAGACTACATTTAATATTCTGAGACTATATTTAATATTTAATATTGCTGATAAAACAGCATCCTTTCATGCCATTATTTCATTTATTGCAGGGGGAGTGGATTTGCAACTTATGCAAAGTAACGCCTGGTCATGGTTTTGGTAGGTTACTGGTCATTGTGCTTCACATTTATCTCCCGTTGTGCTTCCTTTTTTGCCTTGCTTCAAACTTTTAGAACCACCCCCGTACAGTCTATATCTTTCAGGTTATCTGCTTCCTTGTCCAATGTGAAATTTGGTAATGGACAAGAATGAGACCACATAAATGATTTGCAAATATGCGAATAGCATTTTATTGTTAGAGTTTTTCTCTTCTACATTCCTCTAAAGAGATTGAAAATGCTTAAAATTTGGTACTAATAATGGTGAATGAACAAGAAAAAGGAATCAATTAAGATTGTAGACAGAAACATGAGATTTCAGTGCAATATAGACCATGGTTCAAAGTCTTGGCCGAGACTGGGATGACTCGACTGAGTCATCATCGGAACGGGCCTCTCCGTTCTGATATCAAGATGAGATGATTTCGAGATACATAGATCACCGAGAAATTGGTTAAGTCACCAAGAACTCAGCCGAGAAGTCTCCGATACAGATAGTCTCGGCCAAGTTGGTCCGAGTCATCCCGAGTCAACTCGTAAATTTACATTTTACAGATTTTCTTTTGCTAATTTTTTAATTATTTTTTTAGCATATTTTTGAATATTATTCACAATTTTTAGAATATTAAATGGTTTAAAATTAATTTGCGTCTCGCCGAGACCGTGGCCGATATACCGAGACTGATGTAGAATGGTCCGGGCCACAACCGCGACCGCTACTTTGAACCATGATATAGACATAATTGATCACCTGTAAAAGCTGCTAAAACAACCTTTTTGTATGCCACTAATATAGGAGCAGCTTCTACTGTGAATAGACAAAGAAGAGAAGAGAGCAATATGGGCTTATGCAAATTTCAATTTAGGAATTTTAAGTGAATGCCAGTTATAATTTTCACAATTTTTTTAACTCTTCAATTCCCATTTATCATGTAACAGATATTACTACTGAAATACTACCAAGGCTGTTCAAAGTCAAGTACGAGAATGGTGCCATAAAAGAGCATTATCATCTTGAGATGCCGATCGAGCACAAATATTCAAGCAATCAAACTGTCCTGCAATGCGAAAAAGTAACACATGAGACTGTGTTTCAGCAACTACGTGTGTATCATGTAGGCCGGCTTAGAGTTGCATTTTCTCCAGACTTAAAGGTTAAAGAAGATTTTGTTCTTGTTCCTTTATACAGAAGAATCTCAACTTCTAGGGAATAAAATGTATCTCCATGTTCAAGAGTCTTATTTCCACATCTTCAAATGCCAACATCCATTCTGGTTTCCCCATTCCACTGAAGAATCATTATGTATTTTTAGGAAAAAAAAAATATAGCATATTAACTTATTACCTGATTATTAGTCACTGAAATCTCTTACTTTTCCTAATGTGGTAGATTTGCTCATGGGATTTCTGTGTTCAACATCACGATGAGCTTATACCAAGAAAAGAACTTCTCCCCCTGGTAATAATTATTTCCTTTTCTATTGTTGCAATATCATGTTATAAATCCATTTTGTTCAAACTGTATGGGAAGGTGGAGTGATACTTGAAGAAAAGTTCTAGCTTTTTTTCTTTTTTTGGTGGTAATAGATAGACTCCTGAAATGGACAAATTATGAGGAGCTAATTGAGTGGATGCTTGAAAGAAATTATCAAACCAGTTAAGCAAAGTGATTTCACCTGAGTGAATAGTTTATACCTTGATCTATCAGTCTAAAATTAAAAACGAACAAAAAGATTGAAAATGCCTGAACAGAAAGTTTACACGAATCCATACAATGCTTTAAGCAAGTTGAATATGTATCTATTGGGCTTGTCTCTTTTATTGAAAGCAAAAGCGAAAGGAGAAAGATAAAGAACTCCATATTTTTTGTGCAAAATGTAGAGCATCACATTCATGTAAAAAACCAGTTATTGAAGCCAATTTCCTCCAGGTAAATGAACTTGGACTGATATCAAAGAAATACCACGATGCTAAGAAGAATTCAGCGTTGCCTGCTCAAGAAATAGAAGCTAGCAGCAGTGAAAAGTAAGTTGTTTCTTGAATTCTGGATCCTTGTTAAGATGATTATAGCGAAAAACTCTAAGTGATTCGCATGGGCAATGTTGATACCACACTTTCAAAAGAATGATTAAAAAATGATAAACATCCGCAAAGGTTTATCAGTTTAATCCATTATCATTTCTTTTGGGCAGTTTAGCAATCTTAGCTGGCAGGACCATGTTTCTCATGAATGTCTCCAATCTTTCCATGTGAATCTGACAAATGCACAGTAAAAATTGTTTAGTTTCTTAAAGTGGCATGATCAATGAGTCCTGTTTTTGTTCTTGCCTCTATTTCTGGAAATTTGATTTTATCATCTTTCGGTTATTTTTACTTTTCGAGTGGAACTATCAGATATTGTTTGATTGGTTTCTTTATCTACATCTTTTTCTTTGGTTGAGAGGAAGTGGGTGAAATGGAATAGGGACTTTTCTAACCCAACTATGAGACTATCTGACAAACACTTTAAATCTTGTAGGTTCTCAAACTCAGTTAGCCAGTTAACAAAGGCTTTGCAGCCTATTGTGAATGAACTGGGATATGAAAAGCGATATATGCGACATCTTCAGGTATCACGTTTAATGTCCTTCACTCCAAGCCTTGTATGGTTGTGTTTTTAACAACTTTTGCTTCTGGCAAGTGACAAGTACAGTATTCCTTTTTTTTTTTTTTTTTTCCAAATTGCTCGTTCTAGTGGAATAGGCGCAGACTCAGTAATTGTGATTTGAGGATGTAGTGATTTCAAGGGCTTACTTCACATGACATGGCTTCTGGCTTGTTGGTATATGAGTTAAAAGTTGATTTACGAAATGCTGAATCCAAGATTCTTGCTTTTTGGGAAACTGTCTTTCAAATACTTTTGAACATGTTTTCTGATAGTCTAGTTTTCATGGCATCATACTCAACGGCCATGGTACAAGAACCAGGACATAATTATGTGCATATGTCTGAACCCAAAATTTCTTGATGCAAAAAAATGACTCTCTTTAGCCGACATTTTAAGGGATGGCAATTGGAGCTGGTGCCCACGGGAGGTTAATGGGACAGGGGGAATTTTTCACCCGGGGGGTGGTAGTGTGTAATTTGCAGGAAACTGAATGGAACCCCGCCCCATCCCACGCCCGCCACCCGTAAATATATATATGTATATACATAATATTTAATTTAATTAGTTACGAACTTATAATAATGATATTATTAGTTATAAATATTATATAATATATATTAATATATGTAATATAATTGATATTATCAATTATATATGTATACTAATAGAAATTAATAATTAGTTATACTAAATTTACTAATATATTTATACTAAATTCCTAATTACACTGAACATATTAACACTTTTTTCTAAAAAAAAATACAATAATGATTTAGTGATTGTATTTATTACAAAAGTGAAAACTTGGCTACTTTAGTTGTATTTTTTTTATTATGTTGGATTGTATTCAAATAGTTTTTGTTTGATTGTTTTTATGGGTTTCAATTGTGAAATTACAATGGATAATGACTTGATGATATGTTAATATTTTAGTACTTAATTATTTACTAAAATTTGACTACAATAAAATTATATAATAAATTTTTATTAACCTCACGTGGAAATCGGGGGACGGGGCGGGGGAAGTAGTGGGCAACGGGGCTGGGGGCGGGGGAGGGATCCCTGCCCCAAACCTGCCCCGTTGCTATTACTATTTACTACTTGGCTACTTGCATCATGAAATTCTTTTTGCACCTTCTTCAGAGAAAGGCTAACCAACTCTGAGCCTCTTGCTCATATATTTTCCTTTGTTTATTTTCTATTGTTTCTTCTTGGCTTCTAACAAGCAACCATTGCCAGTTCAGGCTTTCACACAATGTTACCTCAGCTCATTACCTAACTGCCATGCAAGAGTTGGCACATCCTCAATCAACATCCACCATCATCTTATGTTTTCCACTTCCATGATCTCATCTAACATTGTACCATCCATCGTCAATTTGACAATCATCATCTCATGTTGAAAAACAGCAAAGCTAATCATCTTCAATTAACCATAGTGGAACAAAAATTCTCATCTTCACATCAATTACCACTATCACCATAACAGCATATAATAACTTGTGTAGTCAATCTTCTGCTTCATTAACCTTGTTTCCAAAGCACTTCAGAAGCGTTCGATCAGCATGAACAACTTAGGAGATTCTTGTCCTACCATGTTGTTTGATCAGTTTGGTATTTATAAAACTTGACTTATATGGTTCAGTTTGACTATACTCATATTAAGCGATTGGCTGATATTGTTAGGTAGGTTAATTTTAATTCAGATATGATTAGGGGTGGGCAAAATTACCCGTTAATCCGAAAACCCGCCATATCCGATCAAATTTGATCTGAAAATTAGGATACTCGATCCGTATTATTTGATCGGGTCAAAAGAGGGTCTGTACTCGCTTAGACGCGGGTCAGATTAGGGTCACATAAATAAAAACCCGCGGGTACCCAACCCATCCTGCATATACATATTTTATTTTTTTATTTTTATGCACATACTATAAAATAATATTTTTATCACTAAATAAGCGATTCCATTGAACAAATTGTATTACAAATATGAGAGACTATAATTTATTTACAAGAATCATTTGTAGAGGTCATGATCTTATGTTTTATAGAAAAGAGTTTAATTAATGTGGAACATATATTTAAACAAATGTGCTACTTAATTCAAACTTTTATTGATTTTGAATTCTTTTAATTTTTAACTTTTTTGTGTATTCTCTACACATGCTTGTTTTTTGGTAGGAGACTTTTTTGAAAAAAATCTTTATTAAATCTTAGATGAATAAAAATACAAAATTAAATTAGTATAAATGGTTTTTTTGAAAGTATTAAATGATAAATGGGGTAAGGCAGATCCCCGTTGACCCGATTCTTTCTCAACGGGTACCCTACAATTGGATAGCCGTTGATATGCAAAACGGGTAAGGATTCGAAAATGACTGACCCACAAGGTACCGGTCGGATCAGCCAAATGGTGCACGGGATAGGTACCCGATCCATGCCCACCCTAGATATGGTTGCTTCTAGCAAAAAGTTTAATTTCATATTTGTGGTAAAGCTTTTCCGGTTCATCTTTCTTCAGCATAAATAAGGTAAGCCCTTCGTGGCTTTTGTTTTCGGGCAAACTACATTTTACCCCTTATAGTTTAGTGTTTTTGGACATAACCCTCCTATGGTTTTAAAAGCTATACATAACCCCTCATGGTTTGAATTAAAGTATCAAAGTGATGAAAATGATCATTCATAATGGAACTTTTAAAATGTCAAAATTACCCTTATTTAAAAATTAAAATGATTGAAATGACCAAAATATATAAACGTAATATATGTGATGCATTAACTCCCTATGGTTTTATATTTTACTATATAACCCCCTTATTATTTAGTAATTTACCATATAATCCCCTTATGATTTTTAAAATATACACATAACCCCCTCTGTGTGCTTAATAAATAATTTTCAACTTTACATAGGGATATTTTTTATATTTTAGGTAACTCCATTATGGATTGCAAATTTTGTTATTTTGACACTTTAATCTAAATCATAAGAGAGCTATGTATAGCTTTTGAAATCATAGGGGGATTATGTATAAAAACACTAAACCATAGGGGGGTAAAGTGTAATTTACCCTTTATTGTCTTACAAACTGTCATTATTCATCTTTTGTAAGGAACTTAACATGGATTCAAAATTAAACAGATATGTTTTTAGATATTCTTAGTTGTTTATGAGAATCAATTTCTGTCGATTTTCGTAAAATGGTTTCTTTTTACATGCTTATGGCCCTTTTATATTATGAAATGGAGTAGAGAATGAGATAGCTATTGCCTCTTTATGTTTAACCTTGATGTATCTATGTTTTGTGGTTTGTAGACATCGGAAATCATCAGCTCTATGAAAGATATAGTGGATTATAGCAGCAAATTTGGCACTGGACCTATAGGTAAGCTTTATCAAGTAATACTTTTTCCATGTCCCATACGAGAAGCACTGCTCTTTTGATCCTTAAATCAAGATTTAAAAAAATTAAGGAATCCATTCCATACTCAATGATTAGTATGCCCATATGAGCAAATAAGATAACTGCAACTTTGTTATAGTAGAAAGAAGTGAAATTGGATTTTCATCTTCAAATAAAGAAAACAAAACTATGACCCAAATTTAAAAGTACCCTAGATACTTGTAACTGAATTTGGATTGTGAATTATTAGAGATATTTTTACTGTAACACTTTTTGTGATGTGATGTATGTGAGATAAAAAGGTAATTGGGAAGGTAAAAAGATGTATTGAAAATTGTAATGATGATGTAAGCAAATAAATTTGGGGAAATAAAGTCCAATCCAAACAAACCTTTATCCAGTCATCATTGCTTCCATGTAACAGTTACATTTTTGTTATGGTAGTTGATGCTGTATGCAATTTACATTTAAGCATAAAACTCCATATTCATGTTAAGTGTTGAAAATGTGTACACACAACCTCAACTCTGCGTGAGTGTGTGTAATTTTTTTCTTTTTTGGCATTTAAAATGTTATGTGTCTAGAGAAGATGTTGTCCCCTTTCTTGTGAAGGCTAAAAATTATTATGCTATAAAAGCCAAAATAAACACGACAGAAGGATGGATTGTTGCTTAATATGCAGTCTAAAGGACCCTACTAAACTGTGATAAAAAACGACTAAAAAAATTTTTTACAATTGAATTCAAGATCATACTTTTAACACTAAGCCAACAAAAATACAAACGTATATAGAGAAAAACTAGAGCTTCCTAATCTTGTCCTTTTTTGTTTAATCTTTTAGAGAGCATGGCCAAGTTTACTCATTCATTCAACACTCGGAACCATTATTCTGCTCAACAGCAGCAACAGCCTCTTGCAAATGACCAAAGTTCCGCACCAGCAGCTTCTCTTCATCTTTCAGCTCTGAGCAAAGATCATGCCAAAAATCCCACAAATCAGCTTCTTTCTGCTGGTCAATCAACTATCAAAGCACCTCAAACAAGCCCTTTCTTCTCTATGGCACCATCATCATCAAAAGTCCCCCATCATACGGATACCAGCAGCCTGGGAGGTGAATCATCTTTGGCAATTCTTCAAGACTACTTGAGGAAAAATCCAAATCTTGGTAAAGATGCAAGTTTTAAAGGAGCTGGCGATGCAGAAAATATGGGTTTCAGTTCTCCTTCTGCTAGCGGAGTTGGTTCTTCCAGAAGCAACGTTCAGCAGGAGGATGATTTTGAACAGCGATTGATGTCCTTTTTTGATGGCAAATTCGCCTCCTCGAAAGGTTTCCAGTCCAATTGAATATTGTCCTCCCAACATTTCCAACTGGTGTTGTTTTCTATCTAGAACTTGTTGTTTACTAGATTTTTAACTCTTGCAGTAAATGGGATTTGGAGTTTGTAACGTCCTTTTAAATTTCTTATGATTTTTTTTTTGGGGAGATTTGTTTCATGTTTTCCTTCTTCTTTTCCCATTCTTGCTTTCTCCTCATGCACGTCTGGATGTTCCAGTTCTGCTCATCCACCTGCAGTACCATTTGTGTATATGGTGGTAATTGTGGTGCATTGCGGCCTTCTCTTTTTTTTTTTTTTTTTTTTGAGAGTGCTAGAATTCTATATCACGTTGGAAATGAGGAAAGCTAATGAGCAAAGCGAAGAGTGATCAAAGAGCAGATATATTGAATATAACACATATATTTGGCTATGATGTTGACAGGAAATGAGAATATACATGATTGATTGAATCAGGGATCATAGAGGAAATGAGAATATACATGATTTATTGATCCCTGTGCCTTCAAAAATCTCTGCTAATTAAATGAAGCTTCGCCTTCAGGGCCGGTGTCATATCCTCCTGGCAAATGTCCTACAAAATCGGTAGTAGTATGATCATATTAAAAATCTTTTGCTCATTTGTGCTTCTTTCCACCAGCAAGAATACGCTGAATTTGAAGTCCTCTGCTGAAGGCTTGATTGAAGAGCAGTCTGGTTTGGAATTCTGAGACAAACGGGAACCAGGCTAGAACGGCAATCGGTGTAAAGATCACCAGCCCCATGAGGTATTCATACCCTCTTGCTAGAGCTTTGGCTGAACCCCACATCCCTATGCCCTTCACAATAGGTCTGCATGCTTGTGCTATCTGCACCCGAAAATCAAATTATTTAGTCTTTCATACTGCAATGCAGACAATGAAGATTTAAATGGACCTAAGAAGCGATATGCACCTGAAGTAGAGCCCATCCTGTTGGTAAGAAAGCCAATAAGCTGGAAAAAATGTCTCCAACCGTAAGACTGAGGAAAGTGAACATTATGCCAATGGTCACCAGAAACCCAATAAACAGGAACATCTTCAGAAGTCTAAACATCAACTGGAAATCTGCACTGAACTTCTTCCTTCCCATTGACACTATCTGTAAAAAAATATATAAATAGAATTTCATCGACCATGGAAAGACAATCAATCTTCTGGAGAAAAATGAATTGTTTCAATGAAGAGGAGGATCTTAGAGTGCACTAATTAACCTTCAGAATAATCATCACCGCAACAATGACCAGCCAAGACAGTCCATAAACCTGTAATGCAGCGGGGAAAAAAAATATAAAGAAAAGAAAATAGACATTTAGTGCATGTTAGATCACAAGTCAAAAACTAAGATGTATCTTTGGAAGAAGAAAGAAACCACACAGTCCAATGGCTCGTTCTCACACTTACCATGATACTTTTCTCATTATTTGCCACATGTAGATGATAAACAATACCATACTGGTAGAGGAAGAAGCGCAAGGAAAGGAAAATTTCCCAGAATCTCCCTAAGAAACCTGTATGTTGCAGGTGCTCTTGCTCCTCATCCCACCAGGACTCCCAACTTTTGTTTGCTGGAACACCAATACCTCCACGGTTACCTATCCACTTCATCCAATCATCCCAGTCTTCCACTATCTTCTGCCACTCAAATCCCGATGGATTGAAAAGGAAAGGAGCAAACAACCACGAGACCACAAGAAACCACATTGAAAATGTTAGAAAAAGGAAAGCAACAGATTCCGTAGCCGCTGATCCATACATTTCATAAACTATGAGCAAAACCATAATCTCCAGTGCTTTCGTGAAATGGCTTCTTGAGTACATCCGGTAATTTTCTGCGAACTTCTCATGTCTTACGACAAAGCCACGACCAGTAGCTCTGTATTTAGCCCCTCCATGTATAATGGTACGCCCAAAATAATGAACCTTCGTCCCAAGAGAAAAGGTAAAGAAAACAGGTGCGAGCTGGAGCTGCATGATTATTACGTCACCAGCTGCAGTTCTAAACCCTCTCTCTAGACCGATCTCCATAACCATCGGCAACATCGTCAAAAACCCAATCTGAACAATAGATTGTGAAGCCATTGCAGTCCTCAAAGCGTTATCTCTCCTGGATCTTGAAAATTTAATTATGGACTGCTCCAATCCACTGAGCGAAAGATAGAGCTTTCCATATAAGAAAGCATAAACAGTAAGGACCACCATCTGTGCAGTTTTGAAGAAAAAGCCCATGTCAGCCGGTAAAGGACAACCAATAGGATATCTCAAACCAGATTTTTCAATTACTCTACAAATTTAGCACAGAAATACAGTACTCTAAGAATTGTTTGTCTTCCAGCATGTACACTAAACAAAATTTAAGGTTATCTTGCATGGACAATCAGAACTTTGTAAAGTGCTTCAATTCACAAGACTGAAAAATGCAAGTCAGAAAATAGTACTTGGTTTCTGAAATTTCACTTTACATGATTTAGGCATATCCCAATGTAGAAAATCATGTCTCAGAGATAATTCACCAGATCATCGTATTGCATTTTGTCTAGAAGACAGAAAAAGTATAGATCTTTCCCTTTCTCCAAACTTTACCCACACACAATTATTCAGAATAATTGGCCACCATGTACGGTAGGAAAAGTGTTTCGTTCCTCCTAAACCTTTCCTGCCCTCTTAAGTTGAGGCCAACATTATTTGATCAAATTCACATGAATAATGCCTCTACAATTTAATAAGCAGGAAAGACACTTCCGCAGAAAAAGATGTTCATCCCTCTGATATTTCTAGACAAGTTAGATAAATTTTCTAATTAATGATCCAAACGTTCACAGCCAAACAATTTTGATCAACATTTTCATTATGAATTCCTAAAAGACAATACTATCATGTGTCAATGCAGGTTTATATCTACCAGTATCCTGAACTTACCATGGAGCCGGCATAGAATCCAGTGGTTGTGTAAAAGCACGACAGCATACGGAAAAAGTCAAAACGATGCCCCAGTCTGTATATGTCCCTGCTAAGTGACTGCTCCCCGTTACCACATGCCACCTTTGCCTCAAAAAGCGAGATTTGGTTGAGACCAACATCTCGACCCTTCCCAACTTGGATATACTCATGGTGAGTGATGTTCCCGCGTCGTAACGTAGAATTGAAACCTATACAACAAATATCATGGAAATATCATTCTCTGTCAACCTTCTTTCTTTAAATGTACCATTAATGTCACTTTCCACTGGAAACAATTGTGAATCTAGATAACGAAGTCAGAAAATTTGGGAAACTCACCGGCAAATATGTCCTCACTGAGATTGATGCCCGTTGAAGCTTTACTGATACCACCACGGGTAACGTGAAAAATTCTATCAAACACATCAGGATGTCCATAATGGAATCGAACCCTAGTCCAACCCATTTCAAGAGAAGAAATTAAGGTTTATCTAACAAGTTGCAAACAAAGAAGAAACAAAAATCGGGGAAACAGCTCAATAAAAATTTATATATACATTCATCAAAGTATATCCACACACATGTACGTTCGTTCTTGTCCTCTAAAGAAAATGGCATCAGAAAAATATATAACAGTCTAAAAGAAAAGCATCTGAAAAGATGTGAGAAATTGTCTTGGAGAGACAATGGTATGAGGACCTTCCAAGAAGAGGGAAAACATTTCATCTCCAAGCATGGGATTATTACACTTACAATTTAAGTGGATATCTATCTACCCCCTATCCTAAAATTTCATTTGGCAATACTCAAAGGTCATAAAATTTCACTTGACCATCTATCCCACATTAGATAATAGATACGCAAACTATTACTCCTTTGATGGCAAATGACCACAATTACAGTAAGGAAGACGTTTAGATAATAGATACAAAAGAACTTGCACTTTGATGTGAGAAAGAACATACTTCAAGGGCCTCGCAAGAACTCTTTGACCAATAGTGACAAAGCTTGTTTCTTGATTTGACATAAACCAAGCCAAGGACGAAACACTGTTCATGTTAAGATTGTGTTAGATGAGAAAAATTTGGGGTGAAACAAGTTGAACTAAGCTACATAACATGATATTCTTACCTTCCAGTGAAGATATGCTCGCGAACACCAAGAATTGTCGGTGGGCGCACCCCATGATCCTCATTAAATTCCTCAAGTAAGTTACGCATTTTAAAAGCTTCTTCCAAATAGTTGTCCTATAGAAGGAAGTTTATCATGTTTTCTGACTCAATCTAAATTATTACGGGTTCAAAAATCTGAGGTTTTACCTGGTTCATATCAATTGTCTGCAGAGCTTCCCCTCTAGTAAAAATGATAGCATGGTTCTGATTTTCTGGCTTTCCTTCTCCCAACTTTACTGCACCAGGTAGTTTTATGCGATAGATTTCCTTCATCATGAACCAAAATATAGTCAGACTTGAAGCAACAAGAGAATCAGCACGGTAATATTTTGTGGATAAAATATGGTTATACCTGATCAAGATTATCGACCGCTTTTACCAATACAGAGTAATAAACTTTCTGCACTTTTCCACCTTCCCTTTCTTCAACTTCATCAATGAATGCAACACGAAGAGATGGATTGCTAAATGAGAAAACCAAAAAATAAGACATTATTAACATATAAACACATGGATTAAGAAATCAAGAGACCGAATCACAACATCCAATGTCCAGAAAGAAAAAACTTACTTGACCATCAAATTCAAAATATCAGTCGCACGACGATCCCCACTTCTCTTCTGGTTTCCATAGTTCTGACAGGTTGCAACATATGTAAATTTCATGTCAGCTATAGCCTCTATTTGGGTATACATAGATCTTTGGCTTTTCTTATCTTCTTCTGATGGCATTGTAACTGCTCTATACCCTTTGAGTATCTCTGCAGAGTTGAGAGTCAATCAGAAACACAGAAAATGTAATTACTACTTTAATAAGGTACTTGGTTATATGAAATATGCTTTTATTTTGATAAACAAATTGGGTGCAGTTCAATTAATTCGTTTTATTGATGGTTTAAATTAATTGCAGAGCGTCATGCTGTATGATGTTGGGTA